AATAAGAACGGTATTGACGACCACCAAATGTGGTAATATAAAATTTAAAACAAATATTTTACATAAATATTCTAACAAAAAAGAAAAGATGTGGCAAAATCCTGCTTAAAAACAGCAAGCACAAACATCCTAAGCAACGCATTACAAAAACGTCGTTAAGTGTCTTCACAGCACTGTTTCAGTGTCTTTCTATTATTCCTTTGAGTGAGTGAGTGAGTGAGTGAGTGAGTGAGTGAGTGAGTGAGTGAGTGAGTGAGTGAGTGAGTGAGTGAGTGAGTGAGTGAGTGAGTGGGTGGGTGGGTGGGTGGGTGGGTGGGTGGGTGGGTGAGTGAGTGAGTGAGTGAGTGAGTGAGTGAGTGAGTGAGTGAGTGAGTGAGTGAGTGAGTGAGTGAGTGAGTGAGTGAGTGAGTGTGTGTGTGTGTGTGTGTGAGTGAGTGAGTGAGTGAGTGAGTGAGTGAGTGAGTGAGTGAGTGAGTGAGTGAGTGAGTGAGTGAGTGAGTGAGTGAGTGAGTGAGTGAGTGAGTGAGTGAGTGAGTGAGTGAGTGAGTGAGTGAGTGAATGAGTGAGTGAGTGAGTGAGTGAGTGAGTGAGTGAGTGAGTGAGTGAGTGAGTGAGTGAGTGAGTGAGTGAGTGAGTGAGTGAGTGAGTGAGTGAGTGAGTGGGTGGGTGGTGAGTGAGTGAGTGAGTGAGTGAGTGAGTGAGTGAGTGAGTGAGTGAGTGAGTGAGTGAGTGAGTGAGTGAGTGAGTGAGTGAGTGAGTGAGTGAGTGAGTGAGTGAGTGAGTGAGTGAGTGAGTGTGAGTGAGTGAGTGAGTGAGTGAGTGAGTGAGTGAGTGAGTGAGTGAGTGAGTGAGTGAGTGAGTGAGTGAGTGAGTGAGTGAGTGAGTGAGTGAGTGAGTGAGTGAGTGAGTGAGTGAGTGAGTGAGTGAGTGAGTGAGTGAGTGAGTGAGTGAGTGAGTGAGTGAGGAGTGAGTGAGTGAGTGAGTGAGTGAGTGAGTGAGTGAGTGAGTGAGTGAGTGAGTGAGTGAGTGGGTGAGTCAACTCCACCAGGAGATAACAACGAGCGAGAAACACCCGGTGTCACCATTCGTGTCAGTTTTTTTATCAGCTGTCCGTACTGGTAGCAGAGCTTTTATGGTTTATAACGTGTGCAATGACGCTGGTTCATATCTCCCCACTTTACCTTTTGAGATATAAACTATTTAGCTTTAAGGTCAAACCAGTGTGTTTTATGCAGCTAAAAAAAATTTAGGACACTAAAATAATTACAAATAATCTACATACATTCATTATCTGGATCCTGCGCAAAATATAGTAAGTCAATTAAAAGCTATGACAGAATCCCTAAAGCAGCTTTCAGAGAGAACCAGCAAATTCCGTTAAATAAAAAGTAGGAGAAAGACGTTGGCATTAGTTTGGACACACATGGTCAAAACCAGTTTAAAATGTAACTAGAATATCCTTGCACTGAAACCCACAAAGTCAACAGAATAAAAGCAACAACAAAATGTGAGAAAGAGAATTAGATGGTGGGCGGGGATATGGAGTTATCTGCATTCAACAGCAAAGAATAGAAGCGACTCGGCGCGAGTTGTCCTGTCTGAAAGCCACTGAACAGACGAAACTCTCACACCACTGCTTTCTCCCATGCTCTGTTTTACAATATGGGCATGTAATCACTGGACCCGTATCTCTGTAGGGTCTTTGACTCCTATAACTCTTGTAAGAATTCCTTGGTGAGTCGTATTGGTATTGTCTGTTTCTCATCTGAGGTTGCACAGCCTCCGCATAGTTTGTATCTGGGCCTTTACCGGAGCTAAAAACATTTTTTTGAGCATTAAAATAAGCCTTTCCAGATGTTTCCATCTCTTTGACAGTGGATGGTCTTTGTTCGATCAGGAATGTCATCATGCTGGTTGGTACACTGCATAAGACTTTGTCCCTAATTAGAAGGTCTTTCAATAAGTCAAATGATTTTCCAATTTTGGCGGAGCTTATCCACTTATCAAAAGTGGTCTCAACTTCAGATAAGTAATCAATGAAATTCTGCTCAGGTTTTGGTGACAAGTTTTTGAAAGCATTTCTATAAGATTCTTCATCTAAAGAAAAATGTTGTAATATTCTATCTTTAACAAAGTCATAGTCATCTAGTTTTTTAACAGGGATGGCTTCTAAAACTTACAGTGGTTACCCCCTAGATGCTTTCTGTATATGAGTGACCATTCTGTACGTGGGACTTCATAATGTTTAATCATGTACTCAAAGTTTTGAGTCCAGGCAGAAATTGAATCACCTTGAGTAAAAAATTTAATGAGGCCTTGATATTTCTTAAAGGATGGTTCTGCTGCCTTCAATTCAGCCTTTCTAATCTGTATTTCAACATTTCTGTCGGCTTCCATTTCTTTGGCCCTCAATTCCATAGTTAGGTTTTCTTTCTGTAGCTGTAAAAATTTAATTTATATTATACAGATAATATAACGTCACTGGTGTCACAATATGTAACAAAATCACAAACGAAAACACCCATGAGAGGTGGGTTTTAATCTAACTCTAACGCTACTCAACGAACGATAACGAACTAGTAGGTAAACAATTATAGACAAGAAAGCAGAGCGATAAATTAACAAGACAAATCACTAACAAAACGCCACTAGCTTGTGCTTCGATTATCGACCCGAGATCAAAACAAGTTGAAACCGAGTCAAGGATCTTGGCACCGCTTAACGTAAAAGTACGTTATCCTAGCACTTAACAGACTTATAGATAACTAACTTCTAGCCCAGCCAACCTTCCACACAAATATTATCAATGATGAATAAGGATAGACTAGAATGAAAGACAATGTACGGCACCGCTGTTCCAAAGACGACCTTGTGGAATACCACGGGCAAGAGAACAAGACCACAGCACAACACCACAGTCAAGACACAACTTATCTGTTCTCCAGCCTGGGATCCATGATTCCCCTTGAAAAAGTACGATGAACAATATTTCAATCGATGATACTGAGGACGAAGGGCCTCATTTGGAGCTTGTAGATTCTTCACACACTCACTTAGCACGTGGCACACCAGAAAAAAAAAATACAATGTCTTTGTCGTTTATCCTACTCGTCAAGACGCCACATGTTCCTAACACAATCAGTTATTAATTCTAGGGACATTCAGTTGATACAATAACAACACAATGTAACACACGATCACAAACTAGCCTCTATAATTATACAAATTAACTCTCGATCTAACTATCTACTATTAGGAAATGATATCGATCACGTTATCACTAATTAAGGGAGCCATCCCAACGACGTCATCATACATTAAGAAATCAATTCAATAGCTAAATCTAATTTTTAAGAGAACGGTAACCTATATAACCTAGCGCTGACTTTGCGAAGAGACGACTATAAACGCAACAAGTCACACAACAGCTAATAATATAAATAAATTGTCACTATCTAATATCTGTCAGTATCCCAGATTCAATTCCTAAGGACGAATGATCCCATTATCTGTCAGCGACCTAATTTACTATAATCATTTTCTATGGCTCGCTAGGTAGGCCCGCTAACAGACTTCAATATCCTGGACACACTCAAGACACGCACCTGCTGAGCACAAACATAATCTTTAATGTACAATGAGCAATACAGCTAGAGACACTTCAACTAAGCTGGCAGTTCTTATCCGAAACGTTGGCGTTGAGCAGCTTTTACATTCACTGGTCAACCCAAGTCGTTCCCATGGATCCTTAGGAACACGACTCCTAACTAACAGTTTATCAGTGCTAACTAAGCAGCCGTCTATTGTCACACGGGACTCGGCAACACACGTAAGGTGTATAGCCTAAGAGTGACTGGGCAGTGATAACGCCATTAACAATGCGTGTCACACAATCACTAGCTGCTTAACAAATACTGCGTGAAACGTTTACTATACAAGGAACAATAACTCTACACTATCTCGTCGAAACATTAAATGGAAACACAGCCTATCAAAGATACTAAACACAAAAATCTTATTCAACTAGCCGTCACTAACCTAATGTACTTTTACCTAGTCGAAGCGCTACGTCTGGTCCAGTCCAGTGTCACTACACAACTCACCGAGTCAGCTCTGTCCAAGCTCTTTTGTTCCCCTCTGCGTTCATGCCTCAACACGCGGTAATGGGTGTTAATCGTGGGACCTGGCTTAGCCAGTTAACTCAACCCAGTTTATTCCGTGGTCGTTGCCCTGTCTCACACTGAGCTTTACTGAAGGTCAACTCGTTCATACGTGATGATTCACTATCATCAACTCCCTTCATCCCATAGCCGAACTGGCCTCTGACAGTAACTATACTAGAAAATTGTAGCAATACAAGAACATTTTTGCATACCAGATACCAGATTGTTAATGGCGTTATCACTGCCCAGTCACTCTTAGGCTATACACCTTACGTGTGTTGCCGAGTCCCGTGTGACAATAGACGGCTGCTTAGTTAGCACTGATAAACTGTTAGTTAGGAGTCGTGTTCCTAAGGATCCATGTAGCAATACTAGAATATTGTAGCAATATTATAACATTGTAGCAAAACTAGAATATTGTAGTAATACTACAACATTGTAGGAATACGAGAACATAGTAGCAATACTAGAACATTGTAGCAATATTTAAAAAAATTTAGCAATACTAGAAAATTGAAGCATTGCTAGAACACTGTAGCAATACTAGAACATTGTAGCAAAACTAGAACAGTGTAGCAATTCTAGAACATAGTAGCAATACTAGAATAGTATAGCAATACTAGAACATTGTAGAAATACTAGAATCGTGTAGCAATACTAGAGCATTGTAGCAATACTAGAACAGTGTAGCAATACTAGAATATTGTAGCAATACTAGAAAAGTGCATCAATACTAGAACAGTCTAGCAATACTAGAACAGTGAAGGAATACTCGAATATTGCAGCAATACTATAACGGTTTAGCAATACACTGTCCACGTCTGTCTGTGCGAACAGGTTCACGGACGTCCACTACTACATGAAGCCGAATGACGAGCGAGGTCTGAATCTCATGACCAAGGCGGCCCAGGCTGTGATGAGCGATTGCCCTGACATTGTTCTAGCATACGGTCAGAGTGACGAGTATAGTTTTGTCTTTCACAAGAACTGTAAACTGTACGGCAGGAGAGCCAGGTGAGTGTGGGCAGGTGTGCGAACAGCCAGACACATAGACAAACAGACTGACAGAAAAGCAAAGAGGCAAATAGATATACATGTTGACAAGTATTGAAACGTCGGGATGGGTTAAAAGAGAGACAGACAGACATGTAGATTGACAGAACCAAATAACAAACTTTTCAAAAGGTTAAAACTGAGTACCCATGCCTGTCTACCATTGTGCCCTTCTGACCTCATTGCTGGCCTACATGATTTCCTTCATACACCTTTTAAAAGGTACTAATAAAAATAACTGACGACAATACAATATTTACTACAAACGCTGGTATGTGCTCGAATTATACCTACATTTCTCAACAGTAAGAAATCTCAGTGTAGCCATTGTAACAGAGGTAAGGGGAAATACCAAGAAATCTCAGTGTAGCCATTGTAACAGAGGTAAGGGGAAATACCAAGAAATCTCAGTGTAGCCATTGTAACAGAGGTAAGGGGAAATACCAAGAAATCTCAGTGTAGCCATTGTAACAGAGGTAAGGGGAAATACCAAGAAATCTCAGTGTAGCCATTGTAACAGAGGTAAGGGGAAATACCAAGAAATCTCAGTGTAGCCATTGTAACAGAGGTAAGGGGAAATACCAAGAAATCTCAGTGTAGCCATTGTAACAGAGGTAAGGGGAAATACCAAGAAATCTCAGTGTAGCCATTGTAACAGAGGTAAGGGGAAATAGCAAGAAATCTCAGTGTAGCCATTGTAACAGAGGTAAGGGGAAATACCAAGAAATCTCAGTGTAGCCATTGTAACAGAGGTAAGGGGAAATACCAAGAAATCTCAGTGTAGCCATTGTAACAGAGGTAAGGGGAAATACCATATGCTTAAAATACAATTTTGTTTAAAGAGGCTATGTCATAGCCGTCTGAAGTCACTTAAAAAAAAATTTATCTGTTTGCAACGTCAGAAACCAATTTTATACTTGATGGAAAGCTGCAAACTGACAGTTTAGAAGCTCAAACAAAACCCAAACAGCAGTTTAATCAAACAGTTTAATCAAAGACATGAACAAATATAAACATATTAACACAAATTTAAACAACAGAAAAGCTTGAGCGTCTAACAGATTACAATATTAAACTGCAGCAATAGACACGAAAAAAAAAAAGGATCTGCTAGTTATTTGTAAATTTCTGAAACGTATCAAAACATCAAAGTGGTTCCAAAGGTACGTTTTGCTCGGCAAGGTTCAAAGAGTAACAATTATGAACGAAAGTGCCAACTTCAGCAGCCCTGTCACTGAGCGCGCAAAGATTGTTTTGTATCAATCTGTCCTAGGTTTCTAGGGATCATCATCAGTGGGCGATCATGCCTCTCCACAATCTGCGATCTCCTGCAGTATGTATCAGTTCGTGTGCTGACACACTTCCATGCCATGCAACAAGACTGTCAAGAATCTTATCTCGTTATCTTCCTCTATCCCTCCTTCAACAGATCTTTCCAGTGGTCACAACATGTTCCATTTTCCCTCTTCTCATAACATGGCCGACAAATGATGACTGTCTCCTTCTGATCTCTGTGATAAGTTGTCTTCGGGCTCCCGCCTCTTTCAAAACCTCTTGGTTGCTCTTTTTGGCTGCCCATGGTGTTTTGAGCATTCTTCTGTAAAACCACATCTCTGAGGCCTCAAAAAATTGTTTGGCCTACTTACCGATTGCCCAGGACTCACAGCCATAGGTCAAAACTGAATGTATGTAGCAAGCAAAAATTATTTTTCTAACCTTCAATTACAGAATTCAATTGAATAAGATGTTCTTCATTTTATTTTAAATTTTATATTCTATGGGTACGTAATATGTTTAGGCGCTTGCTATGTTTTCCATTATAGCTAAAAAGCGGCCACGCTTAATAGCGACATAACCTGCCACTCAGAACTGCAGGTTACTTCCTAGTCGTTTTGTGGTGCCCAAATGTATCTGCTGCATGACCATTCTGGTGAACAGAGCATCTGGGATTTGTAGCTGTTTGGTTCTCATCCTTGAGAGATGTAACACCCCAAAAAAGATGTCAAACGGTCATCTGCAGACAAATAGACAAACAGATAGATAAATTGTAGGCAGATATGTATGTATAGTTTGGAATGCTTTTGTACCGTATGTTTTCATAAAACCATGTTTAACCCTGCCAGCAAAATCCTGACCAGTGTAGTCAGTCTGTTCTCGTCGTCGTTTACTCTGTTTTGGCCTCACTTTTTCAACGTACAAGAACTGAAATACCCGCCAGTGTTCGAAGCGAAGGTGGCACTGCACCCGTCAGACACCAACTTGAGGGACTACCTGAGTTGGAGGCAAGCAGACTGTGAGTAATAGACTTCTTTTTTCTCATAAGTTGATTGGACGGGTCGTTTTTGCGGCTTCCTGGGTAGATAGCGTCCTTTGGGTACTTTCTCCAGGTAATACTGTACTGCGATGGGAAACGAACAGGCAAACAGACTGGCTGGTTCTGCACAACTTGGTGATGAATCGACATATGACAAGCTAGATGTTGTAAGAGTTCTTTTGGAGTGAGTAAACAGTGTGGATACATAACTAGATCAACACGGCCTGAGAATGGGGTGACCATGAAATCTGGTCAAAGCCTAACACTCAAGGTAAAGGCGAAGTGGAAATACAGTCACCCTCTTACTGGTAACCAGAGCTTTTGTAATGAGTCATTTTCTCGTTGCTGATTAATGTTCGCATTTGGAAATGATGTTAAATACATACATTATGTCCTTGAATTATTTTGAATGGTATCCACTACGACTTAAAATGAATAACTCGAGGCAAGCGTGTAAGTTGGCTGAAGCGTGCTAGTGTAGGGAGAGATGCAAGCAACTAGAGCCTAAGAGAGTCGTTGCAGTAAAGGGACCTCGTCAGCCTTGACAGCTTTTTAGGCCCCTGGGCAGTCCAGTGTTTTGGGGCCGCTACGACAACCACTCACAGGTTTGAAATGTAAATGGTCGATAATATCAAACAGTAAGATCCACGATAATCACCCCAGCCGAACTACGTCACGGTCCACTGATAGATTTTTTATACTCGTCTGCTGTCTGGTCTGGCTAGTTTTGCATTTAGGTTTTCTTCCAAAAAAAAAAAAAAAAGAGAATGCCTGTGACATAGGTTGCAGCACTCTCTATGGGAGTTGTGGGTTAGATCCAGTTTGTGAATGTTTTTGTAGTGTTAAAAGCGGTAGCGTGCTTAAATATACAACACGCGATATAAACGGATTGCCGAACACCCGCTAGCAGTCTGCGAAGGCCGGGTGACTCGAGGCCGACCAATCATAGGGAACTAGTGTGTACCGTGGGGAGAATATCGTGGATCATACCTATCAAATTTATGTGGGGCGCCTATGATCCTGGGAGGAACCGGGCAAGTGCCCAGCGGGCCCATGCGTTAGGACGGCCCTGATGGTACCATCGAAATTGAAACACTGTGCTTCAGTGTGTGGTTCAGGGGTCCTATTGTGAGGGAAAACAAGAATAGACCCACTGCCTCCCTAATAAGCGTGTCGTAAGAGTTGACTAATGGGGGGGGGGAGGGGGTTCCTTCGAAGTCGGAATGCATCTTCCTGAGAGACAGGGAGCCAACAGTCTGTGTGCAAATAAGTCAGATCTGTAAAAACACACAGGTTCTGAAACAGGTCTAAAGTCCAGAGGTGGGTGGACAACCAGAACTTTCCACCGGAGTTTACAACCGGTGAATGCGAAGAAGAAGAAGAAATTCTGCGTTTGTTTTGAAGATGGGAGCGGGGGCGAGAGGGGGAGGGGCACTTCTGAAAATATTCCAAACGCTGATATGTCGATTCTTTTTTCAAGATTCAACCATTTTCATGGTGTTAGGATAGGGTATAAAAGTCAGCCATGGAAGAGATATGAAGTTTCTAAAGACAGCAAAACAATAGTCGCACCATGAAAGATATGTAATACTTCAAAGACATCAGTAGATTTTCACCACGTAAATATTTCTAAAGTCAGGAGTGGATTCTCACGCAGGATACGCGCATGCGCTAACACAGACACACAAAAAAGATGGGATTGGTCCTGTAAAAGATACGCAGTTAACTTTACTGGCATCAAAGTGTCTCAAAGGGTATTAGTATTCACCAGTGTCTGTTTAGTAATGTTAAAACATCTGCCTAAAATAATGTGCCGGTATTGCATATTGCCAGAAAAAGGTCCTTACACACACACACACACACATACACACACACACACACACACACACACACACATATATATACACATATATATATACACATAAACAATGTGATACATATTAAGTCCTAAGTTCGCTTTTGCTGGGTCTCTCTTTTCTAAGGTCATATTAACAACCTATACAACACATGCTTGTGGAAACTTATTCAGGAGAGAGCCCTGACTCCAGCCCAAGCTGCCGACAGACTCAAGGTAGTAATTATTTCTGTATGTGAGACTTGCTTCGGCTGTCAGTCAGGGGGCTGCCTGTGATTTCGTGGACTGTTTCTGCACAAGGACACATGTGTTTCATTGCTCTTACAAAGTATCCACGGTGTTTTGTTGTTTGCTACCAAAGACGTTGGTCAAATGTTTGCTTATATCTGTGGGCGTTCATCGTGTCTTTTGGTTTGAGCTTTAAAATCATATTAAAGCAGGCTGATACACTGAATGCTCTAAGAGAGTTAATTAAGACGTTTGTGTGAACCAGTTGAGAACTGTGAATCTGCAACCAAGGTCGGACTGCAAGAACAGCAAAGTTAAACGTGGTGTTGCCAAACAAGAACACTAGGCGGGTAGTCAAAGAGGAAGAAGAAAACAACACAGAACTGGTGTCGTCAGCCGCTACACACTGCGGGATTTACTGAGGAGGGAATCCGAGCACTTATGGACTAGACAACAACCAACCCCAGCACTTTCTGGCTATTTTGGTTTTTCTAGGCAAATTTACGTCCAGTAGTTTGCCATTGCCTCTGGACGGTCGGCTCTTGGTAACACGGTCGAAACCCTCGCAAGACAAACCGTCCGTTGCAGGGATCGAACCAGACACCCCGACATTACAAAGCGCGTTCGCAACGCCTAAGCCTCAGACGCCGACATAGACAAGACACAGTACACATAATTTCCTATTGTACTTATTTTATCATGTGTTCTCAACACGTGTGGGTTCCGAGGCCCAATTTTGGAGGGAAAACAAGAAAAGACCCAACGCCTTCCCAAAAAAGCATGCCGTAGATACAGACTAATTCTTCGAAGTGGGAGTACATTTGCCTGAGAGGTTTACCATGGAAATGATGGACAGATGGAATACTGAGCGACAAGAATGAACTGAAAGACAGTAGAGAATATATCAAGTCATCATTAGCTGACATGCAGTGATATGTGTTGTCATGAACATACAACTATTAGTGACAGAAGTTGAAGACAGTAGAGAATATATCAACATCAGTTGACATGCAGTGATGGTGGATTGAAGACAATAGAATAAATTAACATAAGCAGACATGCAGTGATGTTGGACTGAAGACAGAATGCAGTGATGGTGGATTGAAGACAATAGAATAAATTAACATAAGCAGACATGCAGTGATGTTGGACTGAAGACAGAAGAGAATAAATCAACATCAACTGACATGCAGTGATGTTGGACTGAAGACAGAAGAGAATAAATCAACATCAACTGACATGCAGTGATGTTGGACTGAAGACAGTAGAGTTTGTATCACCATGAGCTGACTATGATGGTGGATTGAAGACAGTAGGAAATATATCACCATGAGCTGACATGCAGTGATGGTGGACTGAAGACAGTAAGGAATATATCACCACGTGCTGACATGCAGTGATGGTGGATTGAAGACAGTAGGGAATTTATCACCACGTGCTGACATGCAGTGATGGTGGATTGAAGACAGTAGGGAATATATCACCACGTGCTGACATGCAGTGATGGTGGATTGAAGACAGTAGGGAATATATCACCATGAGCTGACATGCAGTGATGGTGGATTGAAGACAGTAGGGAATATATCACCATGTGCTGACATGCAGTGATGGTGGATTGAAGACAGTAGGGAATATATCACCACGTGCTGACATGCAGTGATGGTGGATTGAAGACAGTAGGGAATATATCACCACGTGCTGACATGCAGTGATGGTGGGTTGAAGACAGTAGGGAATATATCACCATGAGCTGACTATGATGGTGAATTGAAGACAGTAGGGAATATATCACCATGAGCTGACATGCAGTGATGGTGGATTGAAGACAGTAGGGAATATATCACCACGAGCTGACATGCAGTGATGGTGGGTTGAAGACAGTAATGATTGTATCACCATGAGCTGACTATGATGGTGGATTGAAGACAGTAGGGAATATATCACCATGAGCTGACATGCAGTGATGGTGGATTGAAGACAGTAGGGAATATATCACCATGAGCTGACATGCAGTGATGGTGGACTCAAGACAGTAGGGAATATATCACCATGAGCTGACATGCAGTGATGGTGGATTGAAGACAGTAGGGAATATATCACCACGTGCTGACATGCAGTGATGGTGGATTGAAGACAGTAGGGAATATATCACCACGTGCTGACATGCAGTGATGGTGGATTGAAGACAGTAGACAATATATGACTGGGTCAACTAGCAAGCCAAGGTCATTCCTGAAAAAAGAAAAAGTTTGGCTCTGTCAGGACCTGAATCCACGACCTTCCAGTCCGCAGATGAGCATCTAGCCGCTACACCACGGCGGGGTCTTTATCGAAGGAGTGATTTATTTTTCTAATCTCCAGGCTTCTTCTTCTTCTTTACATCCTCTTTTACCACTTCTGGTGTCGAGGGAGATATAAGGTCTTGCTTCCAGTGGCATGGATTTATTGCGCAAAATTGTTTTCATGTTATAAAATGCAGTTTTAGCCTGTCCTGTTCTGTTCTTTATCTTTGTGATACACCTTCTGTTGGATACCTACATTTCTGTACTTGTCCTTAAAAAAAAACGTCCTTGACTTTTATTAAACATTGAGGCACTACTCAGTTGACTGATATTACCCTTACTTCTGTCTTCCCATTAATCAAGGGGATGTTCATTTTATCATTTTTCTATCAATCCCTGTGCTCTTTCTGACGTGTGGCTATTAAGACAGTGTCATCAGCATAAAGTAGTTTTTTTTTTTTAACCATCAGCCACAATTTCTGACATATCCATGACTGATTTCATTACATATTCAATGTAAAAAAATCAGGTTATATTATAAATCCTTATCGTACACACTTCTTTATGCTCTGAAATGTTCCCAAGCGGTTGTTAATTCTTATGGCTGCTATTTTCTGCCAGTACATATAAAGCATACCTACTCGCACTTAATGAGCATACTGCATGCTTGATTATAATCTTCTTCTTCTTCAACATTTGTACCTAAAAGGGTGGTTAGCACATGATGTTGTGGCTTAAAGCTAGGCTGCAAAATTTGTCACCTTTTGGCCTAACAATACAATTTCAGAAAACTAATTAGTGCCTTTTACAACATGCTTCTTGTGGCGTCACGAACGCGCTTCATAATGTCAGTGCCGGTTTGATCCCAGCTGAGGATGCTGTGTCTTGAGTTGGTTTCAGCAGTGGAACCGAGAGCTGACCATTCAGGAGGCAATGACAAACTACTGAACATAAAATTCGTCTAGAAAAAAAAATGCTGGGGTTGGTTTTCTGTAACGTCTTGTGAAGGATACGCAACTAACTTTTTTCTTGAAGAGCAGCAAGTCAGTTCTTTATTTCCCCCTGGAAACAGGACACTGGAACCAAGATGGAGTGCACTTGATTATTAGGATTTTATTGTAACAATTTCTGTAGCCAAATTTTAACCCTTAATGATATGTTACAGTTTTATTAACTGTATCAATATAAATTTTATTTTTATTTCATATAAAAATATTTCTCTTCCCATTTGTTGCAGGATACAGAAGATTTGGTGCATAATAGCTCCAGTAATCCTAGAATGAATCACTCAACACTCACAAAAGCAGAGAAAAGGTTTTCAAGCATCATTCTACATACAGACATTATAAGCAACACATTTTGGGAAGATTATCCTTACATATTAGGTGATAAAGTCTTTAAATGATATCAGAAAATGCGTTATGCATTTATACAGTATTTTATATTGTATAATTTCTAGTGGATTACACTGCTAGAGAAAGTGGTAAATTAATAGATGGGTAGAAAAATCAAGGCTTACCTTTCATGGGAAAGGATGCCATGGATCGTGTTGCATGAAAGGAAAAATATCAAGAAAGGAATAAGGTAAAAGGTCTCTTTTTCACGCCTTCAAGCATACTGGGCATATATGGCTAGATCTTCTTCTTTTGTCAAAATCTGCTTGTGCCGCTAGGCGTCGCAGTCTATCAGATGATCGGCAACCGAGCCAGGGCGCGCTCAGTCGCTTCATATGCCGTGATGTTATGAAGTCTCAAGTTGTCCGTGACTCCTTCAATCCATCTTCTTCTTGGTCTTCCCCTGCCTCTTGGTGTTTCGATTTTCATGTTGTATGCTCTTGATGCTGGCATCGTTGGTTCCATTCTCATTAGGTGACCAAACCATTTCATTCTTTGCTTTTCAATAAATTTAACGATGGGTATGGTTCCAATAGTTCTTGTAATCACATCGTTTCTCACTCTATCTCTTCTGGTTTTATTCGCAGCCATTCTCAAACATCTCATTTCACAGGTGGTTAGTCTTCTCTCGTGTTGTTTTGTTAATGTCCAAGTCTGACATTGGTATATGGCTAGATCTATATCAGACTAATTAATTGGCACTCATGTAGCCAACAAAATGCCAGCCACCTATACTTCCCAGGACTTTACTTGATACCCATTTCAGGCTAGGACGACCAGTCGTTTGAGAAAACAAAATGTCCAGCTCCACCAGGACTCAAACCCACAATCTTCTGATCAGCAAGCGAGCATGTACCTGCTGCACCATAGGAATAAAGACAAAGAAGAAATGTTAACAATAGAAGTACTAGAATACTGTCTGATAAAACTAACAACAGAAACAACTGGAATATTTTAGTATCTTTTTCTTCAGCACTTGCTCTTAAAAGATTGATTGGCATGTTTGTGTTTGGGGTTTACAGCTAGGCTGTGACAGCTGCCCCTTTTGGGCCAACACATCCAATTTCAGCAAAACTCTAATTAGTCCCCTCCTACTACATGCTTTGCAGGGGAGCTGTGGGTCTATTCTTTCTTCCCTTAAAAAAACTGGGACCTGGAACTCACATGGGAAAATGGAAGGATAAAGTTAACAATAGAATCAGTGGAATACTGTAGAATAAAATTAATAGAAGCAACTGGAGTATGATGGGATAAGGTTAATAAGAGACACAACTGGAAAATAGTGGGATAAAGTTACATGTTATAAGATTAGAAAGTTACATAAGCAGCTGTAGGATGAGAAGCGGCTATAGAAGCAAATAGAACAGGATGGGATAAAGTTAATAACAGAAGCAACTAGTAGGTAGGATAAAGTTAATAACAATCTGAAAGAGAAGATAAGTAGCAACAAGCACTGTATAGATTAATTTAAAAAAAACAACTGCCTAGGAAAAAGAGTTGGGAATGGAACAAACATCTAATATAATGCACTTGGTTTCGTTATGAGATGATGGTTTGCATGCTGTTTATGTTTAACTTACACCTTGTTATGGCTAGTCTCCGGAAAATTTCCTTTAATCAGGAAACAATTTTGGAGTCAATGTATTAAAAATATGTAACTTGTCTCCTTGTTTGACATTTTTCTAATTTTTTTTTGTTTTCTTATCATGACCTTTTTGTCTGTTGACATTGTTTTGATGTTCAGAAAAATGATTTTATCTTCACTATCTTCTGACCAGTTTGGTTTGTTCCCAGGTCAATCTGGCCTAAAATGGCTATCAGGGAAAGTCTTAGGCAGTCAAAACGGGCATCGGAAAGCTGACCACATCGCTCATTGAGTCTCTTCCACATAACCCCCCCCCCCCCCCCCCCACTCACCCCCTCCCCACAGAACAATCACAGAATAAACAAAACTTCACAAAACATATAAAATATGTGCAAACTTTACTGGAAAAGAAAAAAAAAATTTTTAAAGCAAAAAAGGATTGATGCATTATTTACAGAGCAGTGAGTGATATGATGAGTCCCACTAAATTTAACACTGACACAGATTTACAATAACTGTCCAACAACATATCACTTCTGAACTATTTTCACAAACAGTAACCAAGCTGTGCTGATTTGTCTAACCTTTTCTTGCATGGTTCAGTTTCTTCCTTTTTTTTTCCCCCATTGTTTTCATGTGCGGGAAATGTTTTACTCTCCTTATATATGTTTTGAATGTTGACTATCAATGATATGAGAGTTGAGCTGCCATAGATAATTAACCCCTACATGTGGTGGTGAATGTATGACCCACGTTACTTGTGAGGAGACTGGGTTTGTGGCATGGTAAGCTGCAAGAATATAATGAACACAGAAAAATAGAGAGGATAAAAGAAGCACCAGACTAATAATATAAACACATATTTATGTTGAACTTAACGAAAATACTTCTTGGCACTGAAAATTATGAAGCACAGTTTAAAATTACTTTGAATATCTTTGTGCATTATCTTCTTCTTTTTGTGTTCACTAGGTTGTATTATCTGGTAGAAAGTTCTGGTCATTTATCCACTTCTGGACTGTAGTCTTGTTCCGTAACTGGAGTTCTGCAGGCACATCCAGTTTACAGATCTGTTTATCCCCCCGTGTGGGTTCCAGTGCCCCACTGTGGGGGAAAACAAGAATAGACTCACCGCAACAAGCATGACCTAAGAGTCGACTAATCTGAGGTTTCCTTCAAAGTCGGACTGCATCTCCCTGAGAGACAAGGAATCGAAAGTCTGCACACAAATAAGTCAAACCTGTAAAATGGATGTGCATGAAACACTCAGGTTCTGGAACAAGTCTAAAGTCCAGAGGTAGATAATCAACCATAACTTTCTGCCAGAGTTTACAATTGGTGAACGCGAAGAAGAAAAGATCTGCTTATATGTATGCAGACTGTTGGTTCCTCGCCTGTCAGGCAGATGCACTGCAATTTTGAAGAAAAGTGCATAATCAAGATACAATGATAAAGTTGTAGACACCACCACCATCATGTTCCATACCAATAAGCGTAGGCCAGGGCAATCGACTAAATTAAACTCACTGGCCAAAATTTACTCCAACAGCACAGAAAGTAAGATCAATACGTTATAACTGGCAATGATCTGCGGGCCACTTTAAGGCATCTGTGGGCCACCAGTTGAATATACCTGGCTGAGGCTGTAAAGTTTTGCCACTTCACATGATAACCAGAATCACAGATCAGGTTAATGTTCTTGGTCCACCCCAGCAATATGGCTAAGCCATCTAGATATATTTCTCTTTGCCCTCGTATTTTTTTTTTAAACCTATCTCATCACTTGCAACCAAGTTCTTAAGTTGTTCCTTCTGATAAATTCATAAAATACTGACTACTGTGATAAATCCTTTATAAATCCTTTCTTGATATAAGGAAGTAAATCATGGACAGCTGGTAGATTAGTGAAAAATTATTTGGAAATTGCGGAGATCCTTCCAAACAAGACATTCACGATTAATGACCCATTTCCACGTGGCGCGTCCCTGTTCGCCTATACATGGCTTTATCTTGTTTCATTTATTTTATATTCAAAATTCAGAATAGCCCAGGTAAATATCACATACTTTACACATTTCTGTGATTTATTATTAATTTGTCTCAATCGTCTACAGAAAAATTTAATTTTCAGAGTCTGTGTGTGTTTTGCTGATGAAGGCTAATCGCTGCAATATCTTGTTTGTTTACTGTAATTGGTCTTGTAAAGCTGACACATACTTTATGCTTTTCTTAACCTTTTCTATTTCTTCTCTTCCTGATATGTTCCTATCTATATATATATATATATATATATATATATATATCCACTTTTGCTGGTAAGAGTCGTGGTGAGGAACACTGCAGAACAGACACTGATCGTCTTCTTCAAAAGCTTCGATGTCACACCATTTATTCCCTGTGATTTTGCACCAGAAAATTGTGTAGAAAAAAATGTAATATTTGATCAATTTTAATTTTAATTCAAGACTCAGCTTTTCAAATGTGAAAATGTATGTTGTAATTTTGAAAGCTGATTTTATCATACCTATTCTCGTTTTTATTTTTACCTCACACTTGCCATTATGCCCGAAGTTTTGAAAAAAAAAAACGGAATTATCATAGACAAGAACAACAACAAACAAACAAAAAGTTATTTTACGTTCTGAAACGTAATAGGCAAACCAAACTGACTACGTAATAACTAATTATAGAAACCAAAATATTTAGCAGGTATAAAATGTACAGATTAAATCAGTACACTTTGAGGAAGGATACAGACACTCTTTGATTTAAAAAAAAAAAAATTAAACACCAAACATGTCGATTGAACCAATTTTTCAACATGTGCAGTATCACACATTTATAGACAGAGAAATGTTATCAGAATTGACGGACTTCATTTGTCAGGAGAAAAAAAAATACAGCGTAGCCAAAGTCCGATGTAAATGGCCACATGCAAAAAGCCAAAAAATTTAATAAAAACAATTATCAATAATTCATTAAATGCCACTCCCATTATCAAAAGTGTAAAACTGAAGTAAAATGTACAGATCTTGGCGGTGAGTTATGATGACAAGAAGACAGCAGCTGCTGGGTGACATCTGGTACTGCCTGCAAAATTTGACAAAGATTTGACTATGCTGCTTCACCATGCTATTTCACCTTGCGACAAGATTCCATATGAATATCTTCTACACAACACAGAATCTCTAAATCTCAGTTGTCTTATGTTATCACTATCAACATAAGTGCCCACTGGGCATTTCTGTAATTTCTAAGATCTCCAATGCAGCAGCCATCCCAGATCACATCTACTGCCTGTTTCCAACAGAAGTCCATTATTATGTCTCTTATCTTGATTCTGACGATGTCATAAAGGTTTTTATATCAGAGGATCAATTCCCCTGCAGCCCCCCACCCCCTCCCCCGCCCTCTTACGGTTTAAGTCTTTCTTTGCAGAAAAGCTAGCTGCCTGCCAAGGGCGTCACAGAAAACAAGAACTCCGTAGCTACAGCATAGATTCTCTAATGAATTGAACAATGAATTTTGTGAAATGAACCCCTGATCATCAGAACATGAGACAACAGCCTGATCACTTGCCAGGAAGACCACTGTTTTCATCCTGACCTCTTGAAGATGGTAAAGACACACATCTTCCCATGTGGGTTTCAGGGTCCCATTGTGGGGTTGTAATAAATAATGAGTTTCCACTGCAGCATCATTGGATACTCCCAACTTCCAAAACTGCCAATATTTACCACTTTTGCTGTGTAGGTGGGACATGCTACTACCGAAGACAGAACCCCGGACTACTAAGTGATTTGTGTATTTTTCCAGTTGAACATGAATAACATACTGCAAATTCAATTTCATGGTATATTTTACTGCACTTCATCAGATGCATTACTCCTAGAGTTCAATAAACACACAATGAAGCACAAAATATGCATTTTTCAGCTAAAATACACAAATTACACTGTCTTTGTACACTGATCATCTGTCTCTTCATGGAAGTCTGAGGTTAACCATGTGATCCTTGTGCTGGCATAACCTTATACATTGATATAAATTCTGTAACAATGCCTCTGATGCGATTCAGCAAATTATGCCAGGCAATAAACTGTACAAATATACAGTCTGGGTCCTAATTATCCTGGGAGAAAATTCTTAAGGAGAAAACTGTTAGGTGTTAAACACTGTTACCTTAGGTATGTAGGGGAACCTGCAACTTACACAGATACTATGAAACAAGCACCGGCTTGGAAGTGCCTGTATCTCTGCTGCAGAATTTCTGGCGGGGGAAAATAAACTGAGCAATATGGCATTAGCCATTAACTGGTACTCTCAACACAACAGAACACTATTCCACAAAAGTCTGATATACTATTCCACTCGCACTCACAGGCACTGCTGAATAAATATATTCAATGTCCAAGTCCCATTTCAATGTTAATAATCACACAACGGACAGGAATAATGACAGCTTTGGATGACCGGGCCCACTTCTTTTATATAGTAGCAACAGCTGAGGTAACATATGAGCCCTCAAGTGGGAGATGCCCTCTTCCCTTGAGGTATCCACTTTAAACATGCAGGGTCGATGACCTTGTTTGCTATCTCCGGAGGTCGATTTGCCTTCTTTTCCAGAAACTCATCAATCAAATCCTGCAAGGATTCAGTTTAAAATAAAAAATTATAGAATCATAATTATTTCATACAAACATTTATTTAACATGAACATTGTAAAGATAATGCTTTTGATTTTACATACCTGATTAATATATTAATACATGATTATATATATATATATAATTAAAAAAGAGGAGAAATATTGACATCTTAAAAGATCTGAACATCAAGGAAGATTGGCTAATAAACAGCATCCTTTCTCGGAAGCTGAAATATTTTGGTCCTATCAAGCGCCACAACGGAATGGAAAAAACTATAGCAGAAGGCATGGTACCAGGAAGGAGGGGCAGGGGCCGACCGACATGAAGATGGGCACAGGATATAAGTGACTCCTTGAGTATGAAAGTATATGAGGCAGGAGAACTGGCGAGAGACTGAGTTTCTTTCAGGCAGACTGTGATGAGAGCGACGTTCTGCAAAGGACCTGCTACATGATGATGATGATGATTAATATATGCCTGTCTGTTTATAAATTGTAAATTGGCTCATACATAGCTTATCTCAGGAAATCAAAATATTCTGGCCATTCTAAACTCCATACTGGTATAAAAAGAATGGTAATAAAAGGCAGGATTTTTGGTACACAAGGCAAGAGGCGACCAATATGACAGTGAATTTATTACACAGAAAATAACCTGAGTGCAAAACAGGCTGCGATAAGACCGGTTTTGCAAAAGGCATTTTGCCTAATGATGACATATGTGTATGGTACGCGAAATTTAAAAATGATTTTTTGGCCAAAATTTTATAAGAAAGAAGACAAAATTCTAATGAAGAAAATGCTTCAGACTGCCTTTTATGAATCTAGTAGCATTTGTTGCAGAACAGTTCTCTTTTAATAAATGTAATCTTTTAGAGATTTACTGCAATGATGTTTGTCATTTGTTTATTATTTTTTTTTCTAAATACTATTTTTGTCACACATATTGGTGATATTAATCTGAATTACCTCTTTTTTTTCCCATCATTTTATCCACAATGAATACTTTGTTAAACAAAAATTAGAGACTTAAAATATGAGGAGCTGGTAAACAAATGGTTAGAAGTCAGGCTGTGCATATTTTCAAATTTGGATGGGCAACACAAATAAGGCACTAGTTTTCATCTAAAAGAAATAAAATCTGACCTGCTCAATAGGAAGCAACAGAAAGGACAGGTAAGCAGTCTCTCAACATGAATTCACCCGAAAGAAGATACTAGCTAGATTAATAGATTATGAGATTTTCATTTATTTTCATATTTAAAACAAGCAGACACTAATTTGGACACAGTGAACTGAATATGGGAACATTTCAATGTAATCTTACCTGCTTTTTCAGTACTAGGTGTTTTCCTTTCCAGTACTTCAGCATACCCATGGCCTGTAAGGTACTGACTATATCGTTTGCATTGATAGCTGTCTCCTGACTAACGTCTGCATGCATTAAAAAAAAATTATATATTTGAAGTTCTTTTATAATATAAGTGTGTTCAATTAATGAAACTGGGGAAATGGTGAAATATGTACAGTATTTCTAATGAATTACATGTTGCAGAGGACTGGATTTGTAAAAATGATTGTGTTACACAAAATTATGGAGTAAAATGAGAAAAACTACAAGAGATGTACAAAATAAATTAGGGTTAATTGACATATTTTAAGGCCTATACTTTTTTACAAAAGATAGCAGCAGGAAGATGTTTGGGGATGAGGAAGAGGAAAAACAGGAAGATGAAGTGACCAAAAAAAGATAAGAAAGAAAAAGACATAAAAATTAGAGAAAAAATATACTTTCCTTGTACAAAATGCATTAAAGAGGTAAGCAATACTACCAACCTTTAATACAGATTTCCTGACCCTTGTATTTGTGCAAATACTCAAGCAGAACATCTTTCCAATAACTTCTGTATGACAGCAAGCCAAGATCTGACAAAGGGCGTTCAGGGGACCCTACTTTCTCCTCAACTTTACTCAAGAGGTAACCTAAGGACAAATCATTAGTCAACTTATATACGGTACTGACAGTCACTGTCTGCCTCTACTACAATATAAAAGAGGGACATGAATAATATAGGTATTGAGGTAGATTAATAACAACATTCTGACAGCCATTGGTCATCTTTAGCATTATTTTAAAGTACTAGGGGATCTCTATGGCTTATTTGTTAAGCTGTTTGCCTCATGATATGAATATCACAAGATCATTTTCCAGACAGTCAACGCAGCCAATGTTTACAAACTCCCTGGAGACCATCACAGGAGCTACGCAGTTAAGGTTTTGTGCTCTCAGCATGCCACTAGGCAATCCACTAAGAGAGAAAGGAGTCATAGGGTTAAATCCTGTGCAATCTTCTTCTTCTTCTTCTTCTTCGCGTTCACCAGCTGTACACTCTGGCGTAAAGTTCTGGTTGTTCGTCGACTTCTGGCCTGAAGTCAGTCTCCAGAACCTGAATGTTGCGTGTGCATCAGTTTTACAGATCTGATTCAGTTGAATGCAGACTGCTGGTTCCTTGCCTCTCAGGCAGATGCACTCTGACTTCAAAGGAAGCTCCCCAGTTAGTCGACTCTTACGACATGCTTTTGGGGAGGCAGTGGATCTATTCTTGTTTTCCCCACAATAGGGCCCCGGAACCCACACGGGGGAATCCTGTGCAATCAAACTGATTCTCTAAACTTTAATTTTAAAAGTAAACATGGCACATTTAGTGTAGTGAATATAATGTACACATTATTTCACCAGATGTTGGAAAAATATTGACATTTCCCGATGATGTACTTGCATATAGGCAGGGGAGAGATAGGCGACGGATAGCTAACGAGCTACAAGCAACTGTGGACAAAGTGACTGACTCGTGTGCAGAAATGGGTGCTGTCATCAACTCAGAAAAGGCAGCTGTTTTGTGGTGTTCTCTGGACAATAGAATTGTAAAAGCTGGCATTTCAAACCTCACAGTTCATAACAGTAACATCAAAAGAGAAAGCAAACTGAGATACCTGGGTATCATTTTCGATAGAAGCCTGTCCTTCAGGGATCATGTGGATGCAGTTGCAGTGATATGCCAAAAAGGAATCAATGCTCTCAAGATTATGGCAGCAATGGATATGGAACAAAGAATTTTGTTCACAATGTTCCAGCATGTGTTCCTGTCAGTGATAGATTATGGACTTGGCATGCTTACCATATCAGAGAGTCAGATGATGAAACATGAACGCATTCAGAATGAAGCCATGCGGGTGATTCTGGGATGAACAAGAGATACCCCGGTGGTATGTATGTGATATATACTTGCACTGCCTACTATTGCAGATAGGCTCAAATTTCTGCAAGCAAAGTCATATCTCAGAGTAGCTGCGGACAAGAGGCATCTCCTGCATGAAGCCCTGGATAGAGCGAAGGGTAATAGACTGAAAAGAGGAAAGTCTTGGATGGGGCAAGGTGAAGACACAATTGGACATGTGTGCAGGCTTGATAAATTTAGGCGAGGAGAGGAGTGGGTCAAAGTGTCTGATCATGATTCAGACTTGTGTAGGGTTCTAATCACTATGGGACGTGAGTGCAGGGACTGGCCAGTTGGTGCTGTAGAATCAGAAGTTCAACAAATGATTCATGACAATTCCCGCCCAAGTGATGTGATTGTATATACAGATGACTCTGTGTTAAGGGGGAGACAAAGTGCATGGGGGTTAATAGCGAAGGGGAATGGACGTCGCTTGGAGCAACAAAACCTGGCATATGATATCACAACGTCTAGTTTTAGAATGGAGGTGAAGGCAGTCACTGCTGCCTTCCATTGGCTTGAGAATCAGCTGTACACACATGTCGTCATTGTAACTGACTCATAGAGCATGATAAGAAAGGTGGAGACAGGCATGCTCTGTGCAGAGTGGCAAGCAGAGGTCCCGGGTAGTTAGCATCCTTTGGATATTATCTCCTGGGCACGCCAGTGTGTTGGGAAATGAGCAGGCCGATAGACTGGCCAGTATTGCACCACTTGGTGGTGAACTGATATATGACAAGCTGGATGTTGTGAGGGCCCTTTGGAAGCGAGTGAACAGTGCCGAGGAACAGATAGATCATTAAGGTCTGCGGAGAATGGCACTGCGAGGAGTTACAAGGGGATCTGGCCGACGCTTGACACTTGGGAGAGGGGCGAGACGGATATACAATCAGACTGTTACTGGTACCATCGGAATTTTAACTCTTCCTTTGCTGCTAAAGATGGGGACAGAGCGCTTATGGAAGTGTCCCGAGTGCTGTGATATCGATTCTTTTTTCAACATTCAACATACTGAATAATAGGGTTATTTAAAATGATGGATAAACTTTCATTCACCTATATTTCCTTGAATTTACATTAAATATGAATTATGTACATCAAAAAAAGAGGGGAAAGTCTAAAGTTTTGAATACTACTGCTAGCGCTCAGTTGCTTAACCTGCAGAACTGTATCACAGCCGCAGTGAACTCAAGTTATGCAAAAGATGCTTCAACGTCGTGTCTGGCATGAGTTCGGCTACCATTTACATGTTTGCCGAGCAGCAGACGGCGACATAATGATCATCTCTAGATTCCCCCCCCCCTCCTCTCTCTCTCCCTCCCTCCCTCCCTCTCTCTCTCTCTCCCTCCCTCCCCCCCCTCTCTCTCTCTCTCTCTCTCTCTCTCTCTCTCTCTCTCTCTCTCTCTCTCTCTCTCTCTCTCTGGTATGTATATTAATAATATATTATAAATATTCACGGAAATATATATGAACAAAAGTGTGACCATCATTTTTAATATCCTATCCCTGTTCTTTTTTGCATCAAAAATGTATTTCTGAAACTTAACTATTTCCATGTTGATACTGCTAAATTCCTATCAACCTTTTCCCTAATAACTTTCTTTCTGTTTACCCGCTGTAAACTCTAGTGAAAAAGTTCTGGTTATTCATCAACTTTTGGACTTAGGCCTTGTTCCAGAATCTAAGTTTGAGTGCATACTCATTTTACAGATCTGACTTAACTGTATGCAGATTGTTGGTTCATCGCCTCTCAGGTAGATGCACTCTGACTATGAGGATACACCCTTAATTAGCTGACTTTAACAACATACTTGTTAGGGAACGCTGGGTCTATTCTATCTTCCCCATAAATGGAAACCCAGAACAAACACAAGGACAGTGGCAAAACAAAATACTACCTTACAAAGAGGAAATCAATGTGAAAAATGGGAGTACTCACTAAAATCAATGAGCATTTTCCCAAAACCTTGCCTCATGCACTGAGGCAGTGTTAATATACAAGACACATTGTAGTTCAGAAATGAATTCTTTTCCTGTAGAAAATATTTATATAAATGGTTAGATAAACAAAACCACATGTCATTAAAACACGTGTTATGCTTTAAAACTATAATGGATTTACATTTGTTTTTGTAAATATATACATACAATATATTACCAAACTCTTTCACAGTTACTTAGCAAATGATAAAACTACTAGTCAAAGACTGCTTCAATTTGACATATCAGATCTTGTAATTCAGGGAAGGACGATAACATGGCAGCTGATGCAGTCAGCCAAATACTACGTGACGGGTCATCAAATCTGTTAACACATGGAAAGAATATAATATTCTAACAGCTGGGCACAATGATAACTGAAGTAACAGCTAGCAACATTGGTAACATTACAGCTGAAGCAACAACTAGGTACTTGACAGCTAAAGTAACAGCTAGCCACAATGGTAACATGATAACCTAAGTAATAGTTAGGCACAATGATAATATGTTAACTGACGTTTTAGTTAGTTATAATGTTAACTTGCAACGCATGTAACAACTAGTCAAAGAATTTGACTTTAAATGTAGCGAATGGAAAGATATTCTTCACATAAAGCATAAGAGCATAAAAAACTATTGTACTGCTGGAAAATTAGCACATTTACCTTTTCATATCTGCCAAGGGTCAGTGGTCATAGATTACGTAAGGGTTTCGGTGAACAAATAATTCTACTTCTTCTTAGCATTCACTGGCTGTAAACTTTGGCGAAAAGTTCAGGTTGTCCACTTCTGGACTTCAATCTTGTTCCAGAACTTGAATTCTGCGTGCACATATGTTTAATAGATCTGGCTTACTTGCATGTAGATTGCTGGTTCCTGGTCTCTCAGGCAGATATGCTCTGACCAGAGGGAAAATCCCAAATTTTTCATCTTTTATGACACGCTTTTTAGGGAGGCAGTGGGGCCTATTCTTGTTCCCCTCAAAATGGGGGTCCTGGAACCCACGGGGGAAGTGGGGGTGGTGAGGGGGTATTCTTAAATTTTGAGTTCTTTGTTTCATCTCCCAAAGAAATTTATGAACAACTGCTGGGATCAAGTTATACGACAAAGAAGAGGAAGATATACTAAACACATCATGTAGATAAGTGGACAGAAAATCACCAAACATGCACTGAAACGGGAACCAGATGGGCTGCGGAAACAAGGATGTCCAAGAGAAAGACTATGATAAACGATCACGAGGGAGACGAAAGTGTTGGAATGGATTTCCTACATATCAAAAAGAATCTACAGAAAAAAATAACAGAAAAGCGGAATAGACTGTAAGCCCATATAATGTTTAAATGACACAAAATGAAAATAAGCATGTGCATGTCATAATTGTAACAGACTCTGAAAGCATGCTAAGAAAGATGAAGACAAATATGCTTCGAGCAGAGTGTCAAGCTTCACTGGGAAGGTTATGGATAGTGAGCATACTCTGAATCTTTTCTCCAGGCTATGCCGGTGTGGTGGGGAATGAACAAGCAGACAACTGGTTGGATCTGCACCACTGGATGGTGAACTGATATATGACAAGGCAGATGTGGCCAGGACCTTTTGGGAAAAAGCAATGGAGTAAGAAGCGAAACAAGGTTATTATGGCCTGGAGAAAATGCACCTGGGTGTAATCAGATGGTCTGGCCAGCTCACTACCATCAGAGGAAAGGTAAGACTGACATATAACAAGATTACGACTGGTACTATTAGTATCGGAACTTTGCGCTGGCAGCTGAAGATGAGGACGGAGCATGCATGGGAATGCCCTGAGTGCTGTGATGTCAATTCTTAACTCAGTTCAACTCAACTCAAAAGGAAAATAAATAATTAGCTATATTAATTACTCCCATATAGACTACTTCTGGTTTATGCATACTTTGGAAGAAAGCTGAAGTTTTAATGATGCAAATCTTATTACAGCTAAGCTATGTATTACAAAAATATGTCTACCATCTTCTTTCCTATTCAGACTTAAAATTCACAGGGAAATAACTAATTCTGAAAAATGAACAATACCTTAGAGAAGTATCCCACAATATGGCAGCCATTCGTATCATTTTCCGTCATGACATAAAACAGAAAAGGTTCAACATCAAAGTAAAGTGTCTTGTGGTCCAGAAATAATTTCGCTAGAAGACAAAGGTTCTGACAATAGACCTGTGAAGAACAAACCAATAATTATGTTTAGAAAGTCAGACAATGAAAACAGCAGCATGCTAATTAAAAAAAAAAAATGAAAAGTTTAATCAAGACAATCAGCTTCGCAACAGTTTTTATCCCATACAGATAAGTAACTTCACAGAAGCGATAAATATCAGTGAGCCTCACATAAAGCACGAATTCCACAGCCCCAGTCACAGTCCCTAAGCATCTGAGTAAGAAATGCACTTGTGAACTGAATGACCAGACCATCAAACAAACCCATGACCTTCAGAGCACAAAGCAAATGATTTTATTCCTTAGCCATTGAGACCAGCCAATAATTGCACAGGTTTGAGGTTTTGAACAACGGATCAACATCATGGCACATGGGTGTAACACATAAATGTTCTTTTTCTAAATCAAGTTTGATTCCGAAGAAGCTCAGCACAGTGCACAGGCTCTGTAGCACCGGCGAGGATCCTGAAATACTTTGGGTTGATTTTTTACCAAAAATTTTTCCCGGGCAGCGCCGCCAGGGTACTCTTTTTGATTTTCAACTGCCAAGGGATATTTTATGTGGGCAACAATGTACACGGACATCCGATCTCACTACCCAGAGACCAGGGGAATTACTAGAAGTCCAAGTCCACGTGAAAAAATCCCAGCCCTTACCAGGGATTGATCTCATCTCGGAACCTCTAGCACTCGAGTGGACACCATGCCTCGAAACCACAAAGCTCCCCTTATTTGTACAGATGTTATATACTAAGTCAGAAGTCCCACACAACTTTGTTCTTTAAATTTAAAAAAAAAAAAAAATAGTTAAACATGAATACTACAATATACAAGATTCATGGAGCTGAAAACTATTTAGATGTCATTTATACTTTTTATGTCTTTCTTGGACATTGATGTTGGAGTCTGCAGATAATGAAATACCTAAAGCTCATGAAGGAAACAACCAATCAAAGCCAGATTCTAGCCATTTCTGTAGTTGCTGAGCTGAATCATGATCCTAGTCTGCCTCTCATAAATTCAGTATCAGTTGTGTGCACATGGCTAGCTTGTAAGCTTGGAGTAGGGACTTCTTTAATACTTCCAGTGAAAATGGTACTTTGGTATCAGGTTGAGAGAGGGATTTTATTCCAGCCTCATTCTCACATATGCTATTCCAATTCAGGGCTTAAAGGACTTGCAAGTTAATGGACAAGGACTTCACCCTGTGTCATAGAGACGACTAAATATAGCAACTTCCTGTGGTGACTCAGCCCCACAAATTCCAGTGACCTGTCATCGAAAAGCGCAGTTATATGGGTTCATGACCCATTTTTTTCTAGTGTTCGCATTATACTATATATAATGCACATTTTTTGGACAACAGAAAAGCAGTTTGAGGAAAAAATTTAATGTGATTGTATTTTACCAATTGAGAGGAATATTAGGGGGGCAAATGGACAAAGAAAACATTTATAATAAGACCAGGAAGAGACAGAAAAGAGACCTAGCATTTAAACAAACAAACAAACAAAAACTATTTTGGACACATAAAAACAGGAAAATTTGAAAATCAAGTGTCCAAAATGAAGATAACCATTAAAACTGGAAAATGTGACCCACACACATAAAGACACCAGACTGCACAGACTGTCATAATGAAGGGAAACATACAGACCTATTAAGTTGCAGCAAACCTTTATGAATAGCAAGGGTTATTTAAATTTTTCACTGGAGTTTGCAGGCGGTAAACGAAAAAAAAAAAAACTAATTATTTACATACTACTAACCTTGTTCTTTTTACCATCTACTTCAAAAAATGAAATGGAACCTTTTCTGTATATCTCATCACCCGGCGGATGTCTCCAGAGACACTTGGCCTTAAAGTACATGCATAACAAGACATTAAAGGTAAATTTAGAGCCAAGCATAAATCAGTTTAAGACTTCAAGTATATAAAGAACAAGACATGAATTTAAAACAAAATTTATAAACAAATTAAAAAAAACCTTTCACAGTTTAGAACAAAAAGTACAAGCAACAGGAACTTAATGTATTTGCAGAAAAAACCCCATTAATTTCTAAGAATTTAAAAGAAAATGTATAATCAACCGACGCTCAATATATACGGAACAAGGTATTCCTTTAAAACCCCAATTCTGAATAAAATGTACAATTTATATACATTTAATGTATATACAGAACAAGACATATTAATTTAAAATACTTTAGACAAAAGTGTAAAATAATATATATATATATATATATATATATATATATATATATATATATATATATATATATATATATATATATATATGTGTGTGTGTGTGTGTGTGTGTGTGTGTGTGTGTGTGTGTATATATATAAAGTTAGTTGCGTATCCTTTACAGGATGTTGTAGAACCAAACCCAGCTATTATTGGCTGTTGTGGTTTTACCAGGTAAATTTTATGTTCAGTAGTTTGCCACTGCTTTCTGAAATATATAAATATATATTATATATATATATATATATATATATATATATATATATATATATATATATATATATATATATATATATATATATATATATATATATATATATATATATATACACACGAGGGGAAGTCACAACTTTAAATAAGTCACAAATGGTTATGGGATGGCAGGAAAATGTAGTTAGTGGTTTCTAAAGGTGTCACTAGGTGACAGCAACATCTGGCGCTAGGTGCATGCGCATTTGCAACACGGAAACAAAATGGTGACTGTACTTATGGAGTACCCTCAAATAACAATGTGCTGTTGTGCGGGTTTTTTGGGGGAAGAAAGAGGGGGGGGGGGGGCAAAAGGGCTTCCTGCAAAAGGACATTCATGAGGAAATGCTTCCTGTTTATGCTGACAAAAATTTACCCCGTAAAGCGGTGTATAGCTGATGATCCAATTCAAAGAAAATGTCCAGGCCTGCTGACTACAGGAGTACTGCTCGTTCCAGACCACATTCGCCTCGGTTATCTCAGGAGAAAATTAACCATCTAGGGTGGGAACTCCTGGAACATCCTAACAGCCCCGATTTAGCCCCTAGCAATTTCTACCTTTTTGGTCCACTGAAAACCCACCTTGGTGGGAGACATTTTGCGAATGACGCAATAGTTAACTATCAGGATATGAATCACCAGAAGTGACATTACTTGATGTCATAATGGAAGCTGACTCACCTTCCAAACAACACGTTGGAGCAGCTGAAGTTTGCACCCAGGTACTTATACGTTTCCGTCTGTTTGATTTTTATATTATCGACTTAGATGTGGCCGGAGTTTATATTCTTTCCATGTCTAGTTAGTATTCGTACAGAATAGTAAACATTTAAAAACATTTTATGTTTCGCATCCTTCAGTCAGTCTGTGGTAACTAATAACTAGGAATGAAAGAATCCTAAGTATTATAACAAGCAACTAAACTCGGAAATTGTCACTGACAGCTTAGTTAATGCATGAGAGCTGTATAAGCTTTCAACAAAACCAATCGTTCCATGTTGTCAGCATTAAAGCCGTGTATGCAGAAGCGGGTGTAAGGTAACTACTATTCGTATTCGGCCTGACCGCAACTATTTGGCTGAATACCGAGTAGTCAATAGGTCCATTATTCGGTCCCGAAGTGAATACGAAGCTAATCTTTGGTACAGCCCTAGTTATAATGATAAAGCAATAATATGTACAGTGATTAGTATGTAATTAAAATGTATGTGCAAGGAAATCTGAGACCGATTTACAAGTGAAATTTGTTTGTGCGCGTGTTAAAGAACAGACAGGCAAAATCTGGGAACAGATTAAACCATTTTTGATTAATTACTATGGGGAAAAAACTCATCTCATATTGGTCTTTTTTAATATCTGTTCTCCATTCAGGAATGGATTAATGACAAATACTGGAGTTTCACTGTATTTTAATCTTAACGAAAGACAAACAGAAAGGCTAACAATGATACACACAGATACTAACCAGGTGTCGGCGTAAAATTGTAGCTGTTCGCATGTACTTCAAGCAGAACTCACACAGATAGATTTTAGGGAGCCTAGCATATTCCTCTGGGTAAGGAGATGAGTACCAGGTGTTAATCTCAAACCGCCCAATCTCTAGCTTTTTAATGCGATACTCCTGGAGGTCCGACTTGGCGTAATGCTGGGTCATCTGATGCTCCTGTTGGCACAAGGAGAAGGAATACATTCCTAATCCCTTCTACTCAATACCAACACATAAAAACAGGGAGGAAAAAAAGAATAAAATGCACACGATCAATGTCAGACATGAAGGTAACGCAACAACTGTAAAAAGCTGGTGCTGAGTGCTCATTTTCTTTACACATCACACTCAAAAAAACAAAATGAAACAGTTTAAACAAACCAAGAAAAAAAAATAAAAACTTTAAAAAAGATTGTACATGAAAAGTTTACCTAGAAAATGTTTCTGATCAGATCAGGGTAGAACGACTAATTCAGTATGATACATTAGTAAACAGCTTATTACTGCACAGGACAGAATAGAATGGAGGACTAGGCTTTGAGCCGTATGTGGCGTAAAACAAGATGTTATTCATTAGAAGCAACAAAACACATAAAAGGAATGTAATAAATAACATAAAGTAAAATACTACAAACAAAATTCAAATTCTCCCATGCCTTCATTACTGGCCACCTTTACTTTCTAAAACATTTCCTGGTGTCCAAACACATTTCCTAGTGCCCATTTTAAGTTGGGTTTATCTGGATGTTCTAGTGACTTTTTGTATATATTTCTTAAAGATTTTAACACACAGCCATTGTACTGGAAGGTATGCATTTTTTTTTTATGTTAAAATTAGGCATTTTGTGAAGTGCAAGACGTGTTATGAAAAGTATTTGGATGTGAATTGGGTTATTGTTCAATAGTGGTAGAGAATGTGCCAAGTATTTCGATGTGTATGGTGCATTCAACATAGAATGTGTCAAGTATTTCAATGTGTATGGTGCATTCAACATAGAATGTGCCAAGTATTTCAATGTGTATGGTGCATTCAACATAGAATGTGCCAAGTATTTCAATGTGTATGGTGCATTCAACATAGAATGTGCCAAGTATTTCAATGTGTATGGTGCATTCAACATAATGGGTCAAGAGGATCAGGTATCTGGATGTGTATGGTGCATTCAACACATGGCTATAGAATAGGTCAAGATCTGAATTTGACTGGGGTAAAATTTCCTCTCTGCATTCAATCTTAAAAGGGTGGAGGTCATGCTGTTTTGTTGTTTACAGCTAGGGTACGATATATGTGCCTTTCGCCCCAACACACCTAATTTCAGCAAACCTCTAATTAGTCGTCTTTTATGATAAACTTGCTAAGGGACAGATGGTCTATTCTTTTTCTATGTAAATGGGGTCCTGAAATCACATAAGGAGAGTTAGTTTCAAAGCGCTGATACAGAATGAGCCAAGAAAAGCAAGTGTCTGGGGTAGGCTTTCAAAGCATAACATGACCAGTGAAGAAAGCACTGGAGGGCGTCATTATTGAATACATGAGTTGTTTGATATGAAATATGTTCAGTCTTTTGCAGCTTCTGTTTTAATAAGACAGGCCTTCTTACCAAAAGTTCACAAGCTCGAGACTGTGCTTCCCTGAACAGCTCGTAATCATAATCCGAAGTCATGCCACTGATCAGCGGCTGCCTAGTGCTGCCATAGGTTTCTTTGTGCTTCCTGAGTTTCTCCTTCACATCTTCTGTTATCTCTGGCTTTTTAGCACGCATTTTAGTAATTTTCTCCCTCTTCACTCTCTGACTTTCACTGAGCGCCTAGGACCAAAACAAATGTGATTAAAGACAATACAATTAAAATAATACATAAGTGAACTATAAATCTAACATTTACAATTTAGGACTATTAATATGATATATCTTAAAAGAAAATAACATAACACTTGACCTGTTAGGGTCGTGGAGGTGTATCATGGAAGCACTAGCAAATAAAACCTGCTATCTTTCTCTGTCTTCTGCTTTCTGAATAAGTGTATGATAACTTAGTCCTGTCCATTTCTTGATGTCATTCCAGATTCTTCTTTGCCATCCTCTTCTTCAACGACCCTCCAATCTTCCTTGAAGTACATACAGTCTTTGCAATCCAATCATGTTTCAAGAAGTGCCAGAACCAAGCTAGCTTGTGACGTTTCACCACTGCCACACAAGAAACTCATGATGTCCTGCAAATTCAGGAACCTCTCTCGGCAATGAAAATGAGAAATAAATAATTGAAAATAATGAGATGAAAAATTCCTTAACAACAAATGTTAATGAGAAACACTACTGCAGTAGTGTGTCAATTTCAGTCATAATTCTTGTGATTCTGCCTTTACAAAAACAATTAACCCTATGATAACATAGAAAGAAACTAATGTCAAATAAGAAATATTCTCAGAAAAGAAAGAAAACTGCGAAGCATGCACCATGAAATGAACACTTTGAAGCAAATCACCACTGTACCTGATGTCTTAGACCTCGTCGATCTTTTAGCTCTGCTACAACTTTCTTCCGATCTTCAACATTCTTCAGTCTATTTTCATAACGACTCTGTCATGTTAGAACAAAAGTTATTATGTAAACATAATTTAAGCATTTGCAAAACTTAATATGGAAAGCTCATATACAAAATATTTGCAAATAACTAACTATTCAATCATTAGGCTTGTTTCTTCCATGTTTGATTCCTGGCATGATAACTATAGCTTTGGATTTTTATGTTGTCTAGTATATCCGCTGGTCGCTCTACTTCTTTCTTTGAGCGCCAATCAATTCTTGTATATATTTTTTAAATTTAATGTACTGCCTTGAGGGTTCCCCATCTGCTTCTGTGTACTGCATACATCACACTGGAACCGCCAATCACTGCTCTTCTTTAAATGTTCCTTATATGCTAGTCACAGCACCACAGTCGGGTGTTTGTATTTGTTATTCGATCTATGCTTGGGTAATATAAATTTACGTAACCTTTGGTGCTATTTCAGTGGTTTAAAATGAATTACGTCCAAATTAAATAGTTGTGAATAAACCACAACATAATGTGCCAACCGCCCTTATAGGGGCAAATGCAGAAGAAGAAGAAGGGGAGGAAGGGGAGAAGAAGTAGGAGTAGGGGGAGAAGGAAGAAGAAGAGGAGGAGGAGGAGAAGAAGAAGAAATGCCCGTCAACACCCCATAACAATTCATACATATTCTTTTACTTGAAAGCAAAAAAAAATATCAAAATACTGACCTTACACTCCTCTGCTGTAGTATTATGAAACAATGGACAAGAGGTCAGAGTTCGGTGTGATTCATGTCGACCGCTTAGATGCCCTGTAGGTGAAGTGAGCATCAGTAAACTTAGGTTGCAAATTGTGCTTTGATATTTCATGTTTCTTCTTATCCAATAGAAACATGTTATTAAGTATATACAACCTATTTGCAGGACCATACTTCACAAACTGCTAAATTAACATTTCTCCTGTAATAACATAGCTGCATGCTGTACAACAGAGCTTTCCAAATTGTGTGTCGTAACACATTAGTGTGTCAGCTGCAGTGTAGAGATGTGTGAATGTAAAGCATTAAACAGAAAAATCAGCAAGCAATGCCGCAGTTTTAGGCGTTACTCAATTTGTTTTATCATGGCTTTTCAAAAATTATATTGATGTCATTATTCCTGTAAATATGTCACGACACATTATTGCAGGGTTATTCAATTGGTGGCCCATGTGCCAAATCAGGCCTGTGAAGGCCTGGCAACTGGCCCGCGGATCTTTGCTAGTTGTACTGTATTACTGATTTTTCTACACTGGAGCTCTGGCCTCTGTCCTGTGACGTTCCCAATTTCCAACATTTTGGCCCCTGAGTAAACTTAGTTGAACAGCCCTGCAGTAGTATTTTAGCTGCAGTATGAAGGTGTGTCATGTGAATGAAAAACATTAAACAGAATAACTGGCAAGCAACACCTCAGTTTCTGGAGTTACTCAATTTGCTAATAATAAATTATAACCACTTTAATCTTGGAAATATATTTTTTTAATATACTTGAAAGGTTTGATGAAAAAGGACGTGCTCTGAAACATCTTGTTTTTAAAATGTATGCATTTGTCCACATTTCTTCTAAGAAGTTAGCCTAACCTTTAGTTTGGCAGTATACTTGGTTTGTCTAAATTGTGTGATTGGTGATTAGTAAGGACTATAATCTCAGCACTCCGGACAGATGCAAAGGTTCTCCGAACACCTTCTTAGTAGCTCCACAAGAGTCAATTGACTGATCACGCCTGTTACTTGTTGATTAAACAGACGCTTTGTGCCCTTGGTGAAATGTTCATATCTGGCAACTCCAGGCTGCAACACTCATGTCTACCAACCTGGACAAGGATACAGAGTCCCGCTTCTTTGCGATATACAGCTCGCACGTCATTAATTACTCCAATTCTGTCTGGTACCAGACCAGTTGTAACTGTCTTGTCTGCCAGATAATCTGCACACAATTACCTCAACCTGTGTTTAACCTGCATAGTCTAAAAACTGTATCACCAACATGAACACTCTGAAAAGCTCTGCTGTACACAATATCCAAAAACTGCTGTCTTCAAAGTGAAGGTTAGTTGCAGCAGATATCTGCATCCACTGCTGTCTGCAGGAATATTACGAGGGGGCTTCTAAAGAAAGGAGGCTTTTAAAGAAAACCCTGAGTTTGAGAGAAAGTAATATAACCCCACTACTGTCTTGTAACCTGTCAATATTGTTGTTAAGGATGTCAAGTGTGTTAAGCACATGATATCATGGTGCAGACGAAACACAGTGAGGTCACAATGACAGTTTAAGATGGCCACCCTTTTTGACATGCACCGCCCCTTGTAATTTTCTAATCAGTCATTTGTGTTGAAGCACAATTTATTCCCTGGTATGAATCTAGTACCACTGCCTGAAAGCCAAGAGAAATGTCTTTTTCTAAACCATACACCAAAGAAACTGATCACTGGTGTGTCGAAATATGAAACATGGTTGGCAACACCCAGATCCCACAGCTGCACCCTGTATTTAATTAAGACTACTTATTGTTGTTACACATCTATCTGTTTCTCTGGTTAGGTCTCTTGTTCTCAACACCAGACAATGTTTTAAAGTAAAGGACCATATTCATGCCTTTAGGTGTATTTGGCATATAGCGCTAGACATATATTTTTTAGACCAATCTGCACTATGTGGGTTATGTGGTCAGCACCAATTCAGCAGCCTCTGCTTTCCAGGACTTTATACCTGGTACCCATTTAAGGCTGGGTCGACCTGGAAGCCAAGTAATTTTTTTTTAAAGCCGGCTTGATGCAGATTTGAACCCATGACCTTCAGATCTGCAGGCAAGCATCTAGCCATTACACCATGGTGGCTGCCCAATGCTTTAAAGAAAAACTTTTTTCAACAGTTAACTTACATTTAATGGCTAACTGATGGTTAAAATCTGCACGATAGATGAAATAAATGTAGCTATAATTGTAATCAATAAGAAGCATTTTTTGAATATATTATTTTTTAAAAATAAATTAACATAGAATAAAATATTAAGACATTATCAAAATTAACCAAGACAATAATTCTAACAACGATAAAAATATGTCCACTTTAGAGGCAAGATAAACAAATCAAAATATGTAATACATATTTGAAAAAATAAACTGGTTGTTTTTTTTTTTTTTTTTATAGAACCAATAATACCCTGTCCACTCTTTTTAGTGTGTGTGTGAGTGTGTATATATATATATATACACACACACACATACACAAAAAATAACTGGGGACAAACATAACAACGGATGGAAGAAGTAAGACAGAAATCAAAAACAAATAAGCTAATAAGCTAACAAAAGCTGAATTTATAAAGATGAATAGTGTATGATGTAATGAATCACCTTCATTTAACCCTACCAGACCGCTAAACCGCTGGCCCACTTTTCCGGGAATTTACGTAGTGTGTGACAAACATGCGTCACAGACTAAAAATAACCAGCCAATTGCCATCAGACTTAGTTGTTAGTCATTGCGAATGACTTTCGGCGTGTGTTAAGATTTCTTTGTGTGGTTTGATGTGAAAAAAATTCGGCAAATTCTCAATGAAACTAGCAGCTTCGACAAGAAAGTGACGTAGGTCTAGGCTTATCACAGTCCAACAGTTGATCGATACTTTGGTTAATTCAGACTGTGAATACGTTCATAAAGAATACGTTCCCAGTTGAAGTGACAGTCAGTTAGAGCTAGAGTGAGGAGGAGAATTATGAAAATTATGGATTTAAAACTAGATCGATAGTAAGAGAAAGGGGCTTGTCCCTCAAACAGCAACGTCTGGTGCTTACTTTGCGAATCAAGGCTGATCCTACTAGGTGGATTGGCACACAAAGGGGGAAGATTGGCGCTAGATGAAAGGTAAACCTATTTTCTACAATGTCTCTAAGTTTTATCTTATTCTAACCACTTGTTTGCATGTAACATTTTTTTGTACATTATGTTGGTTTTTTGCGCGTTAGTGCCCATGAGCTCAGGTTATAGGGACAGTTAGGTTCAGGGCGTCAGGTCTGGTAGGGTTAATATCAGAAAAATAATGTGTATGGCAGTGAATATTAGAATATGACTGAACATATTTGCAAATGTCAGGTTCAAGCAGAGCTGTAGTTAATGAGAAGGAACTAATAAAAGTATAAATTATATGCAACTTTGAAAAAGGATCCTTACAGACAGCAAACAAATTAAAACTAAACACCCTTTAAATCATAGTGTAAATGTCAGGCTCAAGGAAGTTTTATATAAACTGCAGTTCTAAATTAAATTAATATATTTTAATTAGCAGGCTTCAAAAAGTGATGTAACCCCAAACATATTTTACTGTTTCTGATCAGCCCATTATGCATTTAAATACAACTAAACTGAGCTGCAACCATTTAATCAATCTGTTATGTTACTATAAAACAAGTTTCCAAATAAACAATAAATAAATAAATTTTAGTGTCCTGTGTAACAACTTTTTCTTAAAGGATTTTTTCGGGAATCCCCATGGGTGTTCACAGCCTTTTTTTTAATAGCATTTGCGGGGGAAAGGGGTTGAGGATGGGTCAGCGTGGAAACCAAGGTCTTCACAAAGTTAAAAAGGACCGTGTTCCAGGCATGCTGAGCCTATAGGGCTATACCTACATTGTATAAGCCAATCAGCAATTTATGGCTGATGTGGTGAGCATCACTCCAGCCGCCTGTGCTTCCCAGAACTGTAACTCATTTAATTCCAGGCAGACCTGGTAGCCAAGGTCTATCTTTTGTTTTTTATGTTCGGCTCCATCAGGACCTGAACCCATGACCTTCCAATCTGCATGCCATCTGCTACAGCACAGCGGCTCTGTTCATAAAATAGCTTACCATTATATTTTAAACAGTGGCCAAAAAAAAACAGTTGGAAAGACAACAGATGACTGTCACACAACAAACATATATACAGACCTTTCGAGTCGCATCCTGGCAAGGGGCAATGTGCGCTTGTTTCATCATAATTAGTTTTTGGAGTAGCTCTTCTTTCCGTGAAACCCATCAATGAGTTTCCTTCTTCAGAATCTGCATCTCCATTAAAATCACCATTATTCATTAACTGTAATTTAGTTTTTGTTGCTGATTTTTTCCCACTATGTTTTATTTTTGTTGAATGTGCAGATTTGGACTTTGTTTCAGATTTGCTTGGAGGTTCTGAGTGTTCATCGGTATCTGATGCTGACGGATTGGACTCGACAACAACTTTCCGCCGCTTGACAGGTGGTGATTCTCGGTGTTCTGTGCTAGCTGTTGAAAGGACAAAATAAAAGTCACAACAAAGAACAAAATTTTTTTTTTTTTTTTAGATATTCAAAGCAATGTTTTCCAGTTGCAAATTTGAACATAGTAGGCACAAACAAAAGACTGCACAATTTATTGCCTGGCATATTTCGCAGTATCTGGCCATCATATGATATGCTCTCTTACTTTTTATACTGAGTCAAAATATACTCAGATAAAAGAGAAGAGGCTGGACGAATAGTTAAATAGGCTGGGCTCTCATTCAGAAGAACCAGGTTTGAATCCTCAGTTTCCCCTGTGCGGATTCAGGAGTCCCATTGTGTGGAAAACAAGAACAAACCTATTGCCCTCTCAATTAGCATGTCATAAGAGTCGACAACTGAGGGCTTCCGTCAAAGTTGAAGTGCATCTGCCAGAGAGGCAAGGAACCAACAATTACAATACAAATAACTGAGACCTGTGAGACAAATGTGCACACAACACTCAGTTTCTTGAACAAGACTTAAGTCCAGAGGTGGACGAACAACCAGATCTTTCTACCAGAATTAGCAGCCTGTGAACGCAAAGAAGAATTCTCAGTTTTTTTTTTAAATCTCAAGTTAAAATACAAACTCCTAACCTGTACAGTGAGTGAATGCCTTGTGTGTGTGTGTAGGGGGAAGGAGAAGGGGGGTGGTGGGGGGGGGGGGGGGGGGGGGGTGGGTGTACTTACTTCCTCTTAAAAAACATGTTGCAAAATGTCACTAATACAGGGTTTGCTGAAATCAAATAAGTTGGGCCAAATGATGCAGATTTTGCAGCCGTTGTACAATATGACATGATACCAGTTCATTTAAGTGTGAGTGTGTAGAAGAAAAATACAACATTATAGAATGCTAACAATCTAGTAAACATCATGTGTGTCTCTTTAAGAGAAAAAAAAAACAAATAATCACCTGCAGATCTACGTGTTAAGCGAGTAGGTTGTTCTTCTTCACTTTCATTGGCCAAAGAACTGTCACTCTCATCTGATGCAGAGTCCCCACGAAGTCTCTGAAATCAATCAAATTTTAAACATGTTTTGCTTGTTATTCTCTACTTATGAAAATTGTTAAGTAACTACTGAAAAATACCATCCTTTAAAAAAAATATATACAGATGACAGTAAGGGGAGAAAAATTACGACAAGATATGCCACAAACGAATCAGGTAGAGATTACAGTATGAAGAGTTGCCGCAGTAGCAGAATACACATTAGTTAGCAGAAACGTTTTCAGTCACAGAAAAAGTTAGATTTCCAGCAGAATAACAAATTAATTCTTTTGATACCAATTAATTGTAACTTTACCCCCTTATATTAAAAGGAGTTGAGCTCAAAAGCAATACATATTTACATTCAAAGTTAAAAAAGACAGCATGGACATAGCAGACATCAACGCTAAGTAAGTGGATAATGATGAATCTCCTATGCTAACATGCTTGCCTGACACAGTGAGTAAAGCATGATGAGGCACATCTATGCAGCCTTCAAGGCCAAGATAGAAGACATGATAACCAACTTCTCATGGGAACAATTAGTAGAAGTACCTTGAAGTGGCTGCTGAATTCAAGGACTAAGAAGGCATGTGACTGCCTAATTTTCAGCGATGTTGACTGTGATAACATTTACACTATGGGATAGACTTGTGTATGTGCTGATGAAGGCACACATCCTACAACATTACAATAAAGTTTTTAATGTTCGACCGTCAAAAATCCTATTATTTTCCCGATAGGTTCAGATGTCAGTTATCAGTTGCCCAACTCGTCCGTTTTAGAGGCAAACAGGGTAAGCCATGCCTGAATGAATTATTCAGGTGCACAGAATGAATATAACACATGTAGGTGACGATTAATGTAGTTATTTTAAGTCTTCAAGTACCAAATACCCTCATCATACATTTCTTGGTAATTACAGTATTCTTATTGTCTTCTGAGGTTACCAAGAAATGTATGATGAGGTATTTGGGTACTTAAAATAACTATACTAATTATCTTCTTCATTTTAGCATTCACTGGCTGTAAACTTCAGCGGAAAATTCTGCTTCTTCGTCCACTTCTGGACTTTGCTTCTGTTCCAGAACTTGAGTTTTGTATGCACATCTGTTTTACAGGTCTGGCTATTTGTATGAAGGCTCTTGGTTGCTGGCCTCAGATGCACTCCATCTTAAAAGGAGTATGCTCATCATATCAAAAAAGCAAAGTGTACTTCACTTCTCAGAAGTAAGTTAATTAGCACTCTCTTTCTACTAGCATGAACGTCTAATGGAACATAGGGCTCTGTCCTAGCAGGCAAACTAGTCCTAGTACTAGAGTATCTGGATAATTTCTGCATTTCTAAAAGCCCTAACCCAATGAATGAACAAATAATGAAATTCAAATACATTCCTAAAACTAAAATGGGCTCTCGTCCGAACTTCGTCTCCATATTATGGCGGCCAAACAAATACCCTAACAGGGCATAGGTCGTGTGTAAAATGCGGACTTCCTCCGATGAACACATGTCAGCAAAACTAGGATTACTGTCCGTTGTCAATATCAAGAAACGCATCAATACACATAATAGTGACATGGTGGGAAGACCACGCGCTCCGACGCAGGTTAGCGATAGTGTTCTCCCGATTAGTCTCACCATTGAGCGTATCCCCTAAACTTTCATGGCAACTGACTGCGGATGGGGGACTAAACTAGGCTGGGACTCAGGAGCAGCAGCTACAGCATCTCCTGCAACTTCCTACAGTTTATTTGCTCCCGAGTCCCAGCCATCTAGTTTAGCCCCCCATCCGTGCCGCGCATAGCGACGTTAGGGATACTGTCGGCTGTGCAGCATAGTCGCAGAAACAGGCCTGCAATTAACATATCGCTGTGACCCTGTTAGAGTATTTGTTTGCACTCAATAATATTAGCCCGTTATTCGGAGGCAATCCTAGTTTTGCCACGATTTGTTCCTCGGCAGGCATTCCACATTTCACACACGACTGAGACCCTGTTAGGGTATTTGTTTGGCCACCATAATGGGGACGAAGTTCGGAGAGAGCCCTAAAATGTATTGTTCAGTTAACGGTTGAAATTCATTAATATCCATTATGCTGTAAACGGACAAAGCACACTCGAGTAGAAATGTAAAATATATACGACGAATGAATAAGCAGACAAATGGTTAAATAACGAATCACTGAGGAAGAGAAAACAATGAATGAAGCCTAGTCACTAGTCACTGCTTGTGTGGGTGACATGTTGAGAATGAGTTGCATTTCAAGGCAGTGAGTGAACGCTGAAATCTGCATTCCTTTCCTTTTTAGGAGATAGGTCTCGGCAAAACATAACCACATTCCCAAATAACAAAGGTTGAAATTATAAAGTTTATAATTATAAATAAACTATATAAAGTAATAATATAGGCAAGATTTAATCATAACAAGTCACTAATGGTAGCCATTCATTACATCTATTTCTAGTTGTCAACCAGTCACTTACTGATAGTCCTAGTCTGATGTCTCAGTCTCACAACTCTGAACTTTGAGAAAAAAAGATTACCGTACCACAAAATGCACACTGACATTCATAATTTGACCACATGATTTACCTTCCGACGACGCATTTTGTGCTGTGGCATAGCGTGAAACGGTAATATACTTTAAAATGTATCCAAAGTTTAAATTACTAACGGTCAAGAAATGTATAAATGTATGAAATTATGTTTTTAGTGTTGTCAAGATGCTCCAGCAGGCGCTAAATTTAATGAACTTCCGGTTTGCAATGTGTAGTTACTTCCCTTGGAGCTGTGGTTGGTTTCAGGAAGAGGAGGGGAAAACGACGTGTTGTATCAGCTATATCCTAACCAAGCTGTTACACGGCTGAATAATACAGCCTTGCTCACACGAACTGTTATTTTTTCTCTCCATTTAATCAGCGCGCTTTAGGAATAACCTTCTTCAAATCTCAATGTGCTCTGTGTCTGTTTCCTTCTTGCATATTCATTCCCTGAAATGCGAGTTTATTTGTACTTATAGCCCGGCTCCCTAGCGTAGTTGGCTAAACCGGATTGCGCGGCGGTGACCGGGTGACGAACTCCTGGTGATCCGGGTTCACTCCCGGGGTAGGCAGAAAAGCCACATTTCTCCCAGATTTACAATGGAATCAAGGCCGAAAGGTTGCGATATTCATAATACCGAGCCTAAGGGTTAACGTCTCATGGCTTATGGATATTCAAACAAAAATTTGTACTTATCTGTGTTGACTTCATTTGTTAAGTCAAGAGAAGGAATGACATCACACATAGGGTGCATGAACCTGGAGGTTTCGACACCTTTAGGCCTTTAATTCCCCCCCCCCACCCTTTTTCCACCACTCCCTCTGTCTCCACTAACAGAATTAGACAGAGGGCTAGGTCTCTTTAAAAACTAGTTAAAAATCTAGGCTGCTCACTAAATAGGTATAGAAGTTCTCTTTTTAAATTCTTGTTCATACACATATTATTTCAAACACAGTAATTATAATATCTTGTCATTCCCTTGTGGGATGCAATTTCGTTACTCGAAGCCCTACTCTGGCTCTTGCCAGAGGCCGCAATATACCCCGGTCATAAATATGGTCTAATGGCTGAACGCGGTTTCTGGGACCTCTCCACGGTGATCCTCATCCGCATGGTGGCACTCTGTGTCATCGGGTGTTTATCGCTTGTTTATCGGGGCATTCTCATGTGTGCTCCGTCCTCATATTCAGCAGCTAGCGCAGAGTTCCATACTGATGGTACCGGTCACAATCTGGTTATAATGTCCATCTTGTCTTTCCTCTACTCGAGTGTGCCTTGTCCGTTTACAGCATAGCTGGATATTAATGAATTTCAACCGTTGTGTTTCAAGTGTTGTGAGCCGGCTAGACCCCCTGTTTACACCCAGGTATCTCATTATCTCCAGGTCATAATAATCTTGTTTCGTAATCTTAAGTGAAAAGAAGAGTTGATCTAGTTGAAGTCAGCATGAGGTTCATCTGAGAGAATCCTCTTTCACATTAACTTAAGGATGTTGTGTATGTGTATGTAGGGTGATGGCTGCGCTTGTAATGTAATGTGTATAGCCTCCACTGGTGATACTGCTGTGTCCTAAAGCCCTCCCGGTCTAGAATTCGGGGAACTGATCGGGTTCTGCTGCTTATAGTCCGAGACGTTACAACTAACCACACAACACACAAGCAGCTTTCTCTATGTCTAGGAAATCCGGTACACTTCCTTCTCTTATCGAATATGCTGTGATTTCAAAACAGGCCAGACACAAATGACTTAACATTAAAATAAAACCTAACTAGTTACTAACTCTAAATAATGAATTACAACGAACGGCTGGTGTCAGGCAACGTATATTATAGTTCACAGGACGACGCGAATAGTGATGAATTGCCTCTAACTGTGCTAAATCGTCACTAATAATTACCCGGCCCACAAGTGTTATAAAACTTCCCAAAGGTCACAAATACTGTAAAATATGTCTTTATCTACTTGGCTGCATCGTTCCTTTGTTGTGCATCAACATGCATATGTGTCTTACGCACATGCCCCATTATAAATGTTGGGGGGGGGGGGAGGGGTGTTTAAATAGCATAAGCCTTCTTTAACTACGTAATAAAAATAACATTAATCTTCTTCTTCGGGTTCACCGACTGTAAACTACGGCGGAAAGTTCTGAGTGTTTGCCTTTCTCCTGACTCGTCTTGCCCCAGAACCTGAGCGTACTGTGCACATCCGTTTCTCAGATCTGGTTTATTTGTAAGCAGACGTGTGGTCCCTTTTGTATGCAGACATGTGGTCCCTTGCCTCTCATGTAGGTAGGTATACTGCTACTTCGAAGGAGTAACAATATTAATTTGCTGAATCGCAAATAAATACAATAAAATGTTTAAAATAATATTATATGAGTAAACAAATATTTAAAAAGATAAATTCTTTTCCCGGTTGGGGAAAGGGCCGCTTAGTTCCCTGAAAATTATCTACAGGTGAGTACTGTTCCTCTCCCACGCCCACTGAATTCTTCTTATGGGTAGGGGTGGTGAAGGGGAATCCCCCAAGGTGCCTCCACCTCAGGTTCAAAGTAATCAACTCTGTATCAGTAAGCTTTTAACGTTCTAGGCTTGATATAAAAACTAGTCTCTGATGATAACCCGACTACCTGACCTAGAAAATGCTGTACAATTAAAAGCCTTGTAATATACGAAAAGTGTATGGAGATCTATTTTATACTCTCTACATTTCTCAAGGATGTACTTAACCTTTTCGTTTTAGTAAATATTTTCTACTTATCACCAAACTGTGGTCTGTTCTTGAGAACTACGGGGTACAAGGACAGTTACTAGAGAACATCATAGCCATGTACCACACAAGACAAAGTGCAGTAAAACACAAGAAGGCATATCAGATATGTTCACAGTCAACACAGGTGTGAGACAAGGATGTGTGCTCTCCCACCTTTTATTTAACATTTATATAGACAGAATATCTAAAGAAGCAAGTTATGATACAGACAACATAGACCTTTATAATCATGAGGAAGTACACCCATCAGGAGAAGTAATCGATTCACCCACATTAAACGAACTACTATTTGCTGACGACCAGTGCTTGTTCTACCCTGAAGAACATAGACTGCAAGACCACAATTACAGGTTAAACTCAGCATGCAGTAAATACAACATGAAGATCAATGTAAACAAAACCGAAACAATGCAAGTTAGTAGAGCCCCTGCCCCACTACACACACAGCTGAATCCTTCTGCCCTGAATCAAGTTAGGGAGTTTAAATATCTAGGAAGTATGATCACAGAAGATGGTAGAATTGACAGAAATATAGAAACCAGATGTCAGAAAGCAAGTGCACTTATATACAAATTGTCACCATTATTAAGACATCCAAGCATAACTATGAGTGCAAAGAGACAGATTATTAATAGCATATTCATTCCAACATTAAGCTACCAGTGCCAAACATGGACACTATCTAAAGCCCATATACGCAAAATCACCACCTGCGAGATGAGGTGCCTGAGAAAAGCAGCCAACCTAACTATCTGAGATCGAGTGAATAATGAAACTATCAGGCAAATTGTGGGAACGACACCTTGTACTAAATAACTAGATTCATTGAGAAACAGTAGATCAAGTGGTTTTGCCATCTCGTTAGAATGCCGCAAGATCAATACCATCACACGCACTACATCTCAGAAGATCAGCTACAAGAGCAAGAGGACGGCCGCTGAAAACATGGATCGACAACATTAAAGACACTCTACGCCTTCACGGCATGACAATAGCCAGTGGCAGCCAACGTGCACTGGATCGCAAATTATTCCTCCCCACGTCGCTAAACGGCAGAAGTGTTTTAAGATGATGATGATGATGATCACCGAATACACCATGTGATCTCTTTATCACATGATCAATGTCATGTGACAAATTAGTCACTATTTTAAGCGGCATTTAAGAGCGTTTACCGACACAATCTAGAAACTCCGGAAACGAATTCATGTCAGTGCCTACAAGAATGTCGCGATTATTTACGACACTTTTGATTCCAGAATTCATCTGGACGTTGCTGGTGTTGACGAATCTTGACTCGGTGTCAGTCTCAGCCGCCGACAACAGTACTATCGTATTCAGTGATGCTCTTGGATACGGCCGGGCATTCCAAGGCTTTGGAGGACTCAGTGCAGGGGTAAACGGCCGGTATACTGTTCGTTCACTTTTTCAGTCACAGACTGGCCCTGTGTTGGTTCCGGGGCCCTATTGTGGGTGAAAACAAGAATAGACCGAATGCTTGTCCAAAAGCATGTCGTAATAGTCGACTAATTCAATTAGTAATTTGGAGCTTCCTTCGAAATCAGAGTACATCTGCCTAAGAGGCAAGGAACCAACAGTCTGCATGCAAATGAGTCAGACTTGTAAAACAGATGTGCACACAACACTTTGTTTCTGGGATTAGAGTCCAGAAGTGGACAAACAACCAGAAATTACCACCGGAGTTTACAGCCAGTGAATGTGAAGAAGCAGAAGAAGTCACATACTACAGGTGGTTGTTACTAAATAAACAATGTCCCAAAAGGTTGACACTTTAGACTAAAGTTTAGTGAACAATTACAGTTTTTATTATATGTTCTTTAAGAAAAGAAGAAAAATTACTATATATATTATAACCAACCACAGGACAAAGAAAAGATTAATTAACCATTGGGGAGAATGGGTGAGTCTCTGGGGATTTAGCATCAGAGGCTCAAGGGGTAAAATTTCACAAGTGTTACACATTGAAACGGACCATACTAGTTCAACCTACACACATTATATGTCAAAGTAACCAGACATTTTTGGGTAATAAAATTATTAGAATACTACTATAAAAATCAATTATGTTAGTAGTATAATTATTAGTTAATAAACAGATGGTATGTTTGGAGAAATTAGTAACAAGAAATATAAAAAAAATTGCCACACAACGAAAACTCAATAAAATATGTCTAAAATGAATCACAAATGAACATGGACCACTTAGTAATGTATAAATAAAATATAAACACAATCGGCTCTCCTCCGTATCATGGGTATGAGTGATCGTGTTTGAAAATTTACCCTAA